TTTCATTCACAAGACACAGATCCCTGTCATGGAGACTAAATTTGAACAGTTAAACTACAAGTGCTTTTATGAGTGCATCAAAAAATGCTGCTTCATGCTTGTTGATTCAAGTTGATTCTGCATTCCCTTTGTTTGGATATATTTTCAATCTAGGAGCAAAAACACTTTCAATGTTCTGTCTAAACAATGTAAGGTAACATCATGTTAGTTTAATTGTAGACAACATTCATTCATTCATTCATTTTCTTGTCGGCTTAGTCCCTTTATTAATCCGGGGTCGCCACAGCGGAATGAACCACCAACTTATCCAGCACGTTTTTACGCAGCGGATGCCCTTCCAGCCGCAACCCATTTCTGGGAAACATCCACACACACATTCACACACACACTTATACACTACGGACAATTTAACCTACCCAATTCACCTGCACCGCATGTCTTTGGACTATGGAGGAAACCCGAGCACCCAGCGGAAACCCACGGGAAGGCAGGGAGAACATGCAAACTCCACACAGAAACGCCAACTGAGCCGAGGTTCGAACCAGCAACCCAGCGACCTTCTTGCTGTGAGACGACAGCACTACCTACTGCCTCGCCCATTGTAGACAATAGTTATAGACAAAAGTTTCCTCACTCACAATTGAGCTGATTTTCTTATTATTCAGAAAAAAATCACTCATGTTACTCTTGGTCTTACTGGATACTGAACCAGGCTGTATCCTGAGCTGATGCTGTGGTGGTTGTGAAGGAGTGGAGAGCATGAGACTGATTCCTGAAAGACCCCAGTGACAGACGAGTCTCTGCATTGATCCCCTCGGCCAGCCTGAAGACCTGCCGGAGACTTACACCTGCAGTTTCTCCACAATGGACGTCTAGACTGCAGCTCTGCACAAGAAGTTTGGCCAGAGGAGAAATGGTCTTGCCCAACTGAGGCTGGTTTCTCTCAAGGTTTCTTCCTTCACTTTCATCAATTGGTGAAGTTTTGTTTCTCACCACTATCGCCACTGGCTTGCTTAGTTTTGGGACTTTTGAGATTTGTGGAGCTGCGCATCGATGGATCTTCAGTATTTGGACTTTCAGCAGTAAAAATTAAGACACACTCAACGAACTTAACTAAACTTCAACTCTGAAAACGACACTGATGCAGTTTAATTTACTAGAACTTGTATGGCAAGCTGTAAAATTGCAAAACATGAGTGTATAAACCATTTAAATGCTACACAGGTCAACAGAGAAGAGATTTAGGTCATCTTTATAGCAGTCCCACACTTGAAACTTGTAAATAAGTGTTTAAAGCATATATGAAATGTTAATTATGTAGTAAAAATCAAACAAAAGTTATTATTCGTAGTTTTATTATTAGTTGTTTCATATTATGTGTGACTGCTCTATGCAAAAAAAAGGAGAAATGATCATCTGAATCATCTGTTTGTGAAATCACGAGCCTTGAATGATGAAAGTGACTTCTGAGTGGCACTCTTGCTGCTGATCCTCAAAATTCTAATCATGCCACCTATTATCTATGGCTATTACATCATGGAGCCTGCCAAGACCATCAATCCAGCTGACTGCTTACAGAAGGTTAACATGTCATCCACCGTAACGCCTCAAACTGTTAGTAGGCGTCTCACACTTTGCACCAATCCAGCAAAGCCTGAAATGTCAGTGCCGATGATGAACAGACATAACCACAGAATCGATGTCTGCAAGAATCATCACTCCGCTGGCGGCGTACACTGTGAGCGTGCAAGTCACCTGCACCTTTGCCTATATATTTCTCTCTCGTAAAATACACTTGAGCACTGCTGACAGGCAGAACTATGCGAGACTTTTGAAAAATCCCAATCGCCCCATGCTTCAATTCAACCTACAGCTCGAGATGCGTTTGGATCTACAAACTGCCTGGTGTGCAAATCGCAGGCATTTGGTTTAGATGCTTAGATGATGCGATCCCTTTGGATCAAGACCTTTGCACATTACTGTGCTCTGAAAATCACATCTATACAGCTCTCGGAGTTGCGGCATGCTTTGATGCCTGTCAGCTGAGAAATGCAGTCGCCTGCCTTCAAATGCAGTGCTGACACACACGGACACAGACAAAGTGCTGGATGTCAGGAACCGACCTTGGCTGTACATTTGAAAAACACATTCCGAACAAAACAGAGCAGTTCTCCGATGGCCAAAGACTCAAGCGCATGATTAACCGATAAGGAGTCGGGTGCTGTTTTAACAAACATGGGCATCTGAAGCACTTTGTGTGTCATTTCTGCTCAGGTGTCTGGTTCAGACTCGCTGGGAAAGTCTGAATTTCTGCCGCATCTTGCCAGCTTCTGCAAAAATCTATTGAAGCAGATATCAAAGACCAAAAATACAAGCAATGCCATCTAAAAGCTTTTTTCAAAACATTCTGGCTTGTATTGGAAAATAAGCTGAAGGATTTACACCTTTTTTCTCTCTGTTTTTCTGCATTTTGAGGTCTGCTTCGCAGATTGTTGCAGTGAATTCTGGGAAGACAAGCGCACCGTGCGTGCTTCTAAATACAGAAAGAATGAAGAATGTTTTAAGCTCAGTAGATCAAACTCAGAAATGTCATTTGATTAGTTGTTTAGACATTTTTGTCTAAATATTTTCACATATCTGAAGGAGTTCTGGCAACACTTTAAAGACTTCAGCCTTTACAACAAAGCTAAAAACATCTTGAGTCTAAAATTGTGCCTGCAAAAACTCCAGGTTAAGCATCCGTTAATATATTATACTATTCATTCATTCATTCATTCCTTTTACTTCAGCTTAGTCCCTTTACTAATCAGGGGTCGCCACAGCAGAATGAACCGCCAACTTATACAGCATATGTTTTACGCAGCGGATGCCCTTCCAACCGCAACCCATCACTGGGAAACCCCCATACACTGCATCGCCTATATATTATATTATATTATATTATATTATATTATATTATATTATATTATATTATATTATATTATATTATATTATATTATATTATATTATAATTGGAAAGGATAAACATTATTTGTCCCAGAGAACATTTGTCTTAGGCAAAAAGGTTAAATAAGCGTTATTATTATATTATTAACGTTAAATAAAACAAACAAAACATTTCAGACCAAACAATTAAGAACATACATTGTTTACAAATTAATATAATATATAAATATGAAATATAAGTATATAAATATGAAATATATAAAGCACAGAACAATAATGTACCACATGTGCATTGTTCTTGGTTCAGCAGTTTTGTTCTATATATTATATTCTTGTATTCTATATATTATATTTATAATTTTTTCTTCGGCTTAGATCCTGATTACAGGCGGTCACCACAGAAGAATGAACCGACAACTATTCCAGCATAGGTTTTACGCAGTAGATGTCCTTCCAGCCACAATCCATTATTGGGAAACACCATACACTCTCACATCCACAGCCTCTCTTACACTACGGCCAATTCAGTTCATCTAATTCACCTATAGCGTATGTCTTTGGACTGTGGCCCAGACCAACATGGTGAGAACATGCAAAATCCACACAGATATGCCAACTGGGCCAGCCGGGACTTGAACCAGCGACCTTCTTGCTGTTAGGCGACTGTGCCACCACACCCTAATATTCTAATCCTATTTAATAATTTATGCTAAGCTAAGCTTAAAATGCTCCCACCTAACTCTGAAAGACGGAATGGATTCAAAAATGGTAAAACTCAACTGTTTAAAGATAACTTGATGAGCTTTTTTTGAGCTTAAAATTAGCCTATTTTGAAGAAAACAGGGTATTTGTTAGTATGAATAGTGTAGCATCTATTTATCCTTGATTATCATTGAGTTCCAATTTTTTTTTTGTTATTTGCAGTTTCTGGATAAAATAACTGCATCTGTTCTATTGTGACTTGATTAATACAATAATTCTGTAGAAAATATCACCATCTAATAAAGAGGGCTTTTTACGCAAGGAACAGTGCTTGTACTTAGAAGGATGCGTAAAGCTTTACTTGGTCGGAAGCAAAGACAGACAGTTCTTTTATGCTAAATATGTAATGCAAATTTCCATAAAATAATTTGTTTACATATACAGTTAAGTCAGATTTATAATCCCCCCCTGTTTATTTTCCCCCCATTTCCGTTTAACGCAGAGAGATTTTTTTCAACACATTTGTAAACATAATAGTTTTAATAACTCATCTCTAATAACTGATGTATTTTATCTTTGCCTTGATGACAGTACATAATATTTGACTAGATATTTTTCAAGACACTTCTATACAGCTTAAAGTGACATCTGAAGGCTTAACTAGGTTAATTAGGTTAACTAGGCAGGTTAGGGTAATTAGGCAAGTCATTGTATAATGATGGTTTGTTCTGTAGGCTATTGAAAAAATGTATAGTTTAAAGGGGGTAATAATTTTGACCTAAAATGGCTTTTAAAAAATTAAAAACTGCTTTTATTCTAGCCAAAATAAAACAAGTAAGACTTTCTCCAGAGGAAAAAAATATTATCAAACATACTATAAAATTTCATTGCTCTGTTAAACATCATTTGGAAAATATTTCAAAAAGAAGAAAAGGGGGCTTATAAGGAAGGCTTATAATTCTGACTTCAACTGTACATATTTTATGGTATTGGATTAGCAGAACAGATAGTGACAGCATACATCTGTAAACTGTTGCATTATGTGTTTAACATCATAAGAAGATTTAAATATCTGTGCACAATTCACTGCCTTTTTTTTTTACAAGCAGATCAATACAACTTGAGAAGAATCGAAAATTTCAGAAGAGACACTCACTGGATTATTTCAAGTGAGTGAAGAGTTTCTCCCTATTAGAGTGAGGTCTGCTCCAATGACCTAGAGCCACATGCCATGTAGCTGCAGGGTTATGCAGGTATTTCAACCATGTAGGTGTTTAAATCAAAGTCCAGCCCGGTCTAGGGGTGGGCGGGAGGGCTTGTTGTCAAACTAAGTTAGGTGGGGAGGGGATGTCTTTGAAATACGGTTAGGAGAGTGCGTGTTATCTTTTCTCCTCGCCATTAGACGTCCAGGTTTGGTGTGTCATTGGTTGCAGCCCAGAGCTGGCACCAGCTCAAAGGGGATGTTTAGAAATGCAATCCATATGGTGGCACTATAAAATCTAGCACCGACCACAACCAAAGACCAAGATCTGCTAAGGACGCCAGCATAGCATCAATCCGAAAACCACCTTCTCCGCAGCATCTGAAGATTTTTGCTCTCCAGAACGTCAGGAGGACCAGGACCAGTTGCTTAAAAGGGGTGAGTGTTCACTCTGAGAGTCCTAATGAATCGAAAGCAATGTCTTTTAAAAATATAGACCACTTATGAACCGTTTGGCTTTTTTTAGGGAGGTCCTGTCAGGTTGGATATGAATATTTTTTGTCATGCTTTGTTCCTGCTTCTGCTGGGAGTCGTTTCGTGCCAGAACAACAATCGCAATGTCAAGCCAGGAGGAAAACCTGCAAAGAAGCCTAACAACCCAGCCATAGAGGCAACCCAGCATGGCCCTGAAGCAGACCCCAACTCTGGGCTGGCTGGTGCTGGCGATTCCAGTAAAGAAACAAATCCTGGAGGCCGCGGCTCCAGCCAACAAAGCGCATCTGTCAACAAGCCTGCTGATGACATGAAGCTGCACTTTCTTAAGAACACAGCAGTGACATGCAATGATGGTACTGCTGCTGGGTAAGACACAACATCCACATCCTCACTGCTAGCTTGAGATGCTTTTATTTAATTGCTAAGTTTTGGAACAAAGAAATTTGATTGTAATTCTAGGAATGATGGACACTGATAGCACATACATTAATGACAGAATGACTAAAGATATTGTGGTTACAGTTGAAGTCAAAACGATTCGCCCTCCTGTAAATCTTTTCTCTATTGCAAATATTTCCCAAATGATGTTTAACGGAGCAAGGAATTTTTCACATTATGTCTGATAATATTTTGTCTTCTGGGGAAAGTCTTATTTGTTTTATTTTGGCTAGAATAAAAGCAATTTATAATTTTTTAAAAAACATTTTAAGGTCAATAATAGAGCTTTTTTTTTCCGATTGTCTACAGAACAAACTATGGTTAAAAAAATGACTTGCCTAATTACCCTAACTCACCTAGTTAACCTAATTAACCTAGTAAAGGCTTTAAATTGCACTTTAAGTTGAATAGTATCTTGAAAAATCCAGTAAAATATTATATACTGGCTTCATGGCAAAGATAAAATCAGAAATTAGTTATTAAAACTATTATGTTTAGAAATGTGTTGAACACAAAAATTGGGGGATAAATATACAGGAGGGTTAGTAATTCAGGAGGGCTAATAATTCAGACTTCAACTGTATATGTAAAACTAGATAAAATGTTTGCAATGATGGTATGATGGTAAGAAAAATTAACTTTATTTAAAGGGAAAACAAGATTACTTTTCTTACTATATTCGCAGATTATTATTATTATTAATATTATTTATGTTTTCTAAGGAAAACATTTCATTAACCAAATTGGATATTGTATTTCTCTTGGCTTCTCAAGTAAATGTATCCTTAAATCTATATGCGAAAACAAGACAAAGAAATATTCACTAAAAATCAATTATCCCATTTAAAGACTGTTGCCTACAAAACTGCAGCAATGTCACATCAAATATTTATCCTTTGACAGTTTTGAAAATGTCCTCACATGGTTATGTACCCTAGACCATCTATATTTATTTGTGACCCGCAGGTTCTACCTAAAGGAGTTCAAAGGAAGTAAGAGATGGCTGATATTTTTGGAAGGTGAGTATTTAAAACAAAGTTAATTTTGTCGAGAGAGGTCAGCAGGCTTAAATGCAGCGCTCGGCGTTATTTTGACTGCTGGTCATCTTCTTAGACATGTCATTTTTCTTGCTTTTTAGAGCATGTCACATCACGTCGGTTCACCCACATGTCAAGAAGATATATAGTGTTGCTGGTTAAGAATAGTAACACGCAATGCTGAATTAGCCACTTTAAAATTAAACAATGTGAGACGGAGAACAAAGTGTGAGCAAATAAATCATGCAACACCTCTTCACTTGGAAAGCTTCGCCAAGAGAAAGTGACTTTAAATGGAGATGGAGACGCTAGCAAGCTTGTCCAGTTTTTAAAATGTTGTTTTTTTGGTTATGAGAATGTAATTTAAAATGTTTTCACACTGAAAAATGCTTGTTTTCTGCTTGTTGAAACTACTTATTTAAAATTAGCTGAAACAATTCAATTCTTAAAGTTTTTTTTTAGACATATCAATTGTTTTAGCACCATCCACTTAAATTTAATAAAAACAATTAAGCTAACTTAATCGATTTGTGTTGGGAAAACAGGAATGCATTGCGTGGAACCCAGCATTTTTTTTCACAGTGCATAATGTTTCAGTCTCATGTTCTCAGAACGTTATTTAAAACATAATAAGAATGTTCCATCTACATTGTATTAATGCTCTAAGAACATTTCGCTAATGTCTTTAGTAAGTTATAAAAACTATTGTGAAAGGTTCTTAGAATTTTCAAAATATCCATTTTTACAGATAATGTATTAACATTCCAGTCTTATGTTATATTAATGTTCTTAGACTGTTATTTAAAACGATATTAGAACATTCCATTCACATTACTGTAATGTTCGCAGAATGTTTTCATTTCATCATCATTACAATAATGTTCCAGAAATGTTATTTTTATTTTTATATTTGCATGCAAACATTACTGAATGTTCTTAAAATGTTCTCTGTTTGATACTTTGTTACTTTAAGTTGTCGTGTCATTACACAAAAATATCCTTAAATCAGCAGTTTTTCATATTTTGTGATTTATGTATTTGTTTTTTTATTTTCCCCCTATTTATTTATGCATTTGAATGTCATTATGAGATCTTAATCTTTCCTCTGACAACTTTTATGAAAAAATAGCTGGAAAAAGTGACTTTTATTAACAATTTTATTAGTTTAAAGTGTTATATTATCTAGGTTGGTGTTGTATATCACGCTACAAAAACCTTATAATAAACTGCCAGCATATTTTCTATTATTTTTCAGATGTATTGCTTTATATTTATATTCTTATACATTATTTTATTTCAAACTACTAAAATGTCAATGAAAATCACTTTGTTAACTGTAGAGTTGAAGTTTCAACATCAAAAATCAACAGAAAAACGATAAAGGTCCCATAGTGCAATTCACAACCATAAATAAACAGAAAATACAGAAACTGTTCATTAATAATACAGATATTTTTTTACAGTGCAGTTGTTGTTTGTCAGTAGAACAAAATCTTCGCATTGAATAAATAATCCAATTCATTCCATTAAATCTCATTTAAGGTGGTTGGTGCTGCTACAGCAAAGAGACCTGCGATTCCAGATACAAAACTATCCCCCGTCTAATGGGTTCAACTGACTGGCCACAGACACGCAGAGGTGGATATTAACCAGACATTGCAACACATCTTACCTTCTAGTTAGTCAGTTGTTAACACTTGAATGATTCTGAATGAAAATAACCTTTCTGCTTATTTAAAGGGAGTGGTTTATTATCAGCGCAAGTTGATGAAAATCCACACTGGTATAACGCCAATATAGTGTAAGTTTAAAAAAATCAAGTGCGAGATTTAGAGACTTTTTTGGTAACCCTTTAGAATAATGGTCCATTAGTTCATGTATTTACTAACATAAACTAAGTATGAATAATCTTGTAAAGCATTTATCAATCATAGTTCATCTTTTACTAATGCATTATTAAAGTCCAAAGTTGTTAATGCCCTGTGAGTTCACATGAAATAACATTAATTAAGGTTAAGAAAGATGAATCAATGCAGCAATAACTGTATTATTAACTGTTTGTTCATGTTAGTTAATATATTAACTAATATTAACTGATGGACCATTATTTTAAAGTGTAACTTTTGTTTAATCAACATCTGCCTTATATCATGCAATGAATTGTATGTGTTCAGATTTGTTCCCTACTGTTCAAGTGATGTGTGGAGTGGCAACAAAGCAGCATCGAAACCCAAACAGGGAAAAGAAACAGGTATGATTTTTTAGTCTCAAATGTTGTAACCAGTCTTTGATACCGAAATTAGGAGTCTCTGTTTCTTTTTACTGCTGTAGAATATGCTTTCATGGGGTCTCA